CCCCTAGGGATGACAACTAGGTCGAACGGTCATAAACTACTACAAGACCGTTTCAGGCTGGACATAAGGAAGAACTTCTTTACTGTCCGAGCCCCCAAGGTCTGGAACAGCCTGCCACCGGAGGTGGTTCAAGCGCCTTCATTGAACACCTTCAAGAGCAAACTGGATGCTTATCTTGCTGGGATCCTATGACCCCAGCTGACTTCCTGCCCTTTGGGCAGGGGGCTGGACTCAATGATCTTCTGAGGTCCCTTCCAGCTCTAATGTCTATGAAATCTATGAAATGGCCAGATCCTTGTGCCCATGCAGGGCACAAGTGAACCCAGTGGCATGTCTCACTAGCTTCTAGGTTCACACCCCTATAGTTGTAGGATGAGAGGTCTGGTTCAGAGCAGGGACTGAGTTTCCTGGGGGTTTGTATCCCTCCTAACACAATAAAAATCCTGTCCTGATACCCTGCTTTGTGTCTGGCAATGCCTTCTTACCCCTTGCGGGAAGTAGCATATGGGACGAGGCATCGCAGTTTCTCCCTTCACCATTCATCACTGACCTGGAAGAGGGGATATGGGCACCCTCAGCAAGTTTGCAGATGACATCAAGCTGGGCAGAGTAGCAGACATGCTGGAGGGAGTAGGGTTAGGATTCAGAGAGACCTAGACAAATTGGAGGATTGGACCAAAAGGCGTCTCATGAGGTTCAATAAGGACAAATGCAAAGTCCTGCACTTAGGATGGAACAATCCCATGTACCGGTACAGGCTGGGGACCAACTGGCTAAGTAACAACTTTGCAGAAAAGAAGCAGGCAAAGGAAGTTCCTGCTTTTATATAGGGGATGCTGGGGATTAGGGCCACAAGCCAGTGGGCTAGGGAGAAAGGGATGGGCACAGGTGGACAAACATTAAGCGTGGGCAAACCTTAGGACAAACCTCCTAAGTACATACACATAGGATCCAGGTACTGTAATAGGTAATAAACAGTGACACTGTGGTGAAATCACCCAAGAACAGGTAACATGTAAGGAAAACTAATACCGTGGTATATACACTTGGGAAACCTTAAATCCTCCCACAACTCCAGAGGGACTCCCAACCAGCCCCTGGTCCCAAAAGTGCTTAATTCCCATCTGCCAGGGCTCCCACGCCTGAGTCCCGCTCCTGCAGCTCACAGTCCTGGCTCTGCCACTCCTGAGTCTCTGGCCACGCACCTCTCACCCATGACATCCCACACTTCATCACTGCTTTTCTGCTTCCTCCCATCCCCTGCAGCCTTCTGGGAATTGTAGTGAACATTGCAGTTCATTCCTCCAGTCCTCTGGAGGCTTCTGGGAGCTGCATTTCACACTACAGTTCCTTCTTCCAGTCCTCTGGAGGCTTACAGGAGCTGTAGTTCACATTACAAGATTACAATATATGACATTCAACATTACAGTCCATTGCACGGCATCAAAAGTGAGAATGAAAAAGGGCATTTGGAAATGCATGCAAATTCTGAATACATACCTCAGTTTATTTGATATAAATGACACACACATGTATATAGATCATAATATAGGAACACAGTTTCAATAGTAAATTCTTTTATCAGTAGGGACTGAGCTAGCTGCTATCCTTGCAGACAGCACTTGTACCCTGGCAAACAGTGGTAAGATCTATACAAGGATAAATGGAGGGGAAGGAGCTATATTGGTCATTTCTGACATGTTTTAAAAACCCATCTAAAACAAGCCTTGGGAAATACAGTAGAGTCCACAGCCAAGGGAAATTTTGTTTTGCACAGATATGTGTGTCTTTAGGTTGATGGGGGAGCAAAGCATGATGCTGCCTATGGTGTTACTTGCTTACTGTTCTTGACATGTGCCAGCGAAGATTGGGGACCACTGACTTAAAGGCTCATGGTTATGAAAATGCCAATGTTGTGTATTCAGTTCATTGTCTAATGCAGAATTTATTCCAAGTGATGCCCCAAATGTTGTGTAGGCTATGAGACCTGTTTCACTAGCTCCATCCAAGTTGATGGGACTCTGATGCACTTCCACAACTGAAGAGCTGGTCTGTGAAACATGCACTGCATTTCAATGCAAAGATGGTGTGGAATAAATGAAACCTGGTTTTTGCCTTTGCTCTCATTTTTACCTTCCCCTGTAGCGCACAGCCTTCCCTGACAAAGCAGATTTCAGTTCAAACACCGAAAACTAACACTTTCCATAGGAATATGATTGATAGACAGATGTATCCCTCCCCAAAAGTATGACCCCCTCCAGTTCTCACTTAAGTGGCCTAATGGTTTCAGTAAGACCTGGCTTGAGTTCCTATGTCCTAGCTTAAGAAGGACCTCAACTCTGTCTGGTTTACCAGGCACAGATCTGTGCCTTCAGCTAATGGCATCCATAACTGCAGGTCCGAAGACTAGCATTAGTGCTGCTATCATGTAATTCAGGGTGCTGACAGAAGTGACGGTTATAGTGTGATTGGGCCCCGGAAGTGCTCTACAAGCGTGCACTGACAGAGGTGCATGGCTGCAGCGTGCTTTAAAAATGCCTGATCATGTGACAACCTGAACCCTCCAATCCACCCACCCCACCCTCCAGTGCAGGCTGGGCAAACTCCAGACTGAGCTCCCTCCACTCCTTTCCCCCACTCCCTTTCTGAAAACAGCACTGGGGCTGGCAAGGGGGAGGGGTGGGGAAAGGGAAGAGTGGCTGCAGACCCGCAGATGCTCTGAATGGAGCTTAATCTCCCAGGATCCTGGACCCAACAACCAATGTCTGTAGGGTCAGGGGAAATGCTGTAACTCATGGTGCTTCTTCCAAAGTGCCATGAGTTACATCAGACAGTTGCATGTCTGTCAGCACCCTTAGGTGCAACTACTTGCAGACTCAGTTGCAAGTGCAAATTTTGCCAGTAAAAATAGCTTCTGAGTGGTAAAGTTAAATCCTAAATAGTGCAACAAGCTTAGGTTGCAGTTTCCTAAAAACTGGGGAGCTACTGATTTTTTTTCTGTTGGTTAACTTACATGCAAAACTCTTCCAACCTCTATCTCTTTTTAGAGCATTTGCTATATTTAGGATCTTGCACAGATACCTGTCTTTGAATTCACTGATAAATGTAAGAAGGAAAATGTTTGACTCAAATCCAAAGCCTCTAAATGGTTTCTTTTTAAAATGTACACTACAACATCCTGTGTAAAAGTTTACCAAGGAAAACAGGAGGGAATGGTACATTTTTCACGTGGGTTTTGAAGCATTGTTCATATTTAAACAAGCCTCATACAATAAAACTACCAGTTGACCCCCAATTTTTCTTTTTCTCTTTCTCTTTTGTTGCTTGCAATACATTTCTTTTATTTCCCTCCCCAATGTCATAAATCATAAGCATAATTAAATTTATTTTTCCATTTATTTGGACTGTACTATGGAAGATTGTGAAACTCCTACCTTGGACTGACACGCCACTCTGTAATTCAGTCCATTGATTTCAGCCCTTCCATTGTTCAATACAATAATGTAGCTTTCACTGTGTATAGAGTCTGACCCTAAACCTTTATTCAAGCACTTCTATTAACACCTATGGAGCTGAGATGCACTCCCACGAAGTGCCATGTATCCAATGTCAACACCTAAGCTGCATCTGAGAGAAAGCCAGAGTAGATCTGATTGGCTTAATCCTGTTTATAAAAAATCCCTCTTACTTGATAACATTCACTTGGGTTCGCTCAGGCCTGTATGATTTAAATAGAAATAGAAGGTGAATCTTCATGTCAGATACTCCAGGCAAGTTATCCAGCAGTTACCAGCCAGAATTAACCAGACAGTGCATGGCCTTCTACAACTGTACAGGTAGTGGGGAGCTGAACTGGCACTTAACAGCCATCTCAATGGGGTGTTAACTCTGAGAACAACCATCCTTCCCACCTTAACTACTTCACGTGGTTTGGAAGCACGGTTCTCGAGTTAACACCCCACTGAGATGGCTGTTAAGTGCCAGTTCAGCTCCCCAGTATCTGTACAGGTGTAGAAGGCCATGCACTGTAGCAAAACCAGCTTGACGATGGGTAGGAAAGGACCCTGGGCAGAAGATATACACAGACTAGGGGGCAGGGCCCGTAGGAGGAGAGAACTACACTGTACTGGTCTATCGGCCATTTCCTTTTACTTAGTAGAGGTGAATATTGCCTGGAGGCTATTTCTGCCCTATGATTGCTTCATTTTTGTGAACTAAAAATGGAAAGACTAGGAAGAGAGAATATTTTCCTCTAGTACTGGAGAAAGCCTCATAGGGGAAGAATTCAAGCAATGCAATTATTGCTGTTTATGGCATAGATTGAATTTAACATCTTTCTAAACTGCAAAGGGACAGTGATGTCTCTGCTTGTTTCCTTCTCACTAATCCAGCAGTTCCAGCCCTGACAGCTCAAAAATTGAGTGGCTGGCCTAAAAATAACGATTTTTTTTCCCAAAGAAATCATCATTTGGGGGTTGTTTTTATTTGCCTTATAGTTTCTAGTTGTCTGCAACTGTGGTAAAATCACAGGAGTTGGAAATGCAACAGATCAGTGCTCTTTGTCTGTCTCTGCATGTGGGTTTTTGCAAAGGTGGGGTTAGTTACCTCTTCATTCGGCCCTAACAAGACCATGAGCTAGAACGTCAAACTTTGGCACCGCTGATAAATGGCACCATCTTATCCACTTTCCTTGCTAATAAAAAACTATCTCATCTACCTGAAATGAAGTCAACCTCTGTTCAATCTCAGGTCCTGGCTGGAAAGTTTCCCAGAGGGGTTGTCTTCTTTATTGCTCTGGATTCAGCCAGTATGGATTGGTACCTGCTACAGGTACTCATAATCCAGTGCAGTAGCTATGGAAGACAATAAATGAACACCATGGAGGAAAAATCTCTCCATTTGAAAGTGAATGATTTTCTCTTGATGATATTGCACAACAGTCAGCCTATTCTGGGAGGCACATTGTGCTGCTGTCACAAAGTATATTTCTGCCTTAGCATTTACACCTCACAGGAGGACTTGTGATGTTTCTTCATTGCCAAGTAATAGGCTCGGTTGGCTTCTGGGTAAGTGACTTTGGAGAGAGGTAACTTGTAGATGGAAGAGTTATTTGTGGTTATCAACAGAAAGGTAAGGGCAGATAAGCAGAAGGCCCAGGTACCTGACGGCAATCCAAACTGAGGGGAAAAAAAAGAGAATAGTTCTTATTTGGATTTATGGAAACTTCCAGTCTTAACTGTAATTCACAGAATCATAGAAAGTGAGGGTGGAAGGGACCTCAGGAGATCATCTAGTCCAGCCCCCTGCTCAAACCAGGACCAGCCCCAACTAGATCATCCCAGCCAAACCTGTGTCTACCCAGGCCTTACAAAAACTCCAAGGATGGAAAGTCCACAACCTCTCTGGTAGCCTGTTCCAGTTCCTTATTACCCTCTTCATAACCACCTTTTCCTAATATGTAACCTAAACTTCCCTTGCTGCAACTTGAGACCATTGCTCCTTGTTCTGTCATCTGCCACCGCTGAGAACAGTCCTCTTTGGACTCACCATATAGGTAGTTGAAGGCTGCTATTAACTCCCCTCTCAATCGTCTCTTCTCCAGACTAAGTCCAGTTCCCCCAGCTTCTCCTTATCAGTCATGTGCCCCAGCCCCCGAACCATTTTCATTGCCCTCCACTGGACTATCTCCAACATGTCCACATCCTTTCTGTAGTGGGGGGCCAAAAACTAGACACAGTACTCCAGATGTGGCCTCACCAGTGCTGAATATCTGGGAAGAATCACTTCCCTTGATCTGCTGGCAACCCAGTACATCAGCCTTCTTCTACCAACGCAGCCCAGTACGTCACTAGCCTTCTTCACAACAAGGGCACACTGCTGGCTCATATTCAGCTTATTGTCCTCTGTCACCCCCCGTCCCTTTCTTCAGAGCTGCTGCTTAGCCAGTCAGTCCTCAGGCTACAGTGGTGCATGGGATTATTCTGTCCTAAGTGCATGACTTTGCACTTGTCCTTATTGAATCTCATGAGATTTCTTTTGGCCCAATCCTCCAATTTGTGAAGGTCTTTCTAAAACCTAGCCCTACCCTCCACTGTATCTACTACTCCCCCCAGCTTGGTGTCATCTGCAAACTTGCTGAGGGTGCACTCCATCCCATTTTCCAGATTGTTGTTTGAAGAAAACTGGTCCTGGGACCAACCCTAGGGGTACTCCACTTGGTACCATCTGCCAACTAGGCATCAAGCCATTCATTATTACTCAGTCAAAACCAGCAGACCTGGAATGAATCTTCTCCAAAAGAAGATTGTATTTATTTCCCAAAGATGTAGCAGCCCCTCTCCTCTTCACCAAAGCAAAGCCATCTGTTGATAGGATGCTACCATTATGTGGACCAGTTCCATATAGTGAGTACTGGCTACCCAGGGAAAGGTATAAATCCTTTTTTCTCATGTCAATGTAACCTCAATGAAACTGAGTGTAAAATAAGGCAGTATTTGGCCTGTTGGCTGTAGGTCAGAGCACAGGAATGGAAGTCAGGATTTTTTTAAATTCTCCTCCTGGTTGTTTCAGTGACTCCTCTTTGGGCCCTGAGTAGGATACTGAGAACTAGATTTCTCCAGGTATGTTTGAGGATCTTGGCCTCTCCGTCTCAGATTTCTATGTATAAATTATGACTAATTCTCCTTACTTCATGGAGGTATGATGGGCTTACTAGTTAACGTGCCAGCTCTATGTTGTGGATGTTAAGTGCTAAGTCATTATTATTGTCAATGAATTTTAATGAGCGTTGTAGCTATCCCATGAGGCAAAACTTGTCCCCACTGGTAAAACTGAGGCTCTTAATGGGACAGACCTGCTCTGTAAATATAACTGTGTTACATCCCCTGGGAAACACTAGTGATGAAGAATAAGTATCAGAGGTTTGCATTCTGTCCTAGGGAACACAGCTCCCTTCCCTGTTGTTTGTTCCTGAGTTAATTAAAACTTACCACAGAAAGCATATTAGCCAGAGATGCTCCTAGATAGGCAGTGAAAAGTGCTGTGAAGAGAGACAGAGAGATTATTCCTGATAAGTAAGACTGCTCACAGCCATGGGGAATGAGGTAGGACAGCTGAACAAGCCCTTCCACTGCCCTGGATGGTTTTTTCCTGCTAACCTAGCCCTGTCTTTTGTGAGAGCACAGGTGTTATTTATAGTATGGACTTCACCTTTCACAGATATCATCCCTTCCAACGTGGGGGCCCATGCATGGTGTACAAAAATCTTGTACTGCAGTAGAAATGGAACAACGAAAAAAAGCAGGATCGAGGAAACAATCTTTGGAAATGTTTCTGCAGTGAAGTCGCTTTACAAGGCTCCTATGGAACAGAAAATACCCCCTTCCCATGTAGCTGTTTGGTTTTCCTCACTCAGACAGACTATAATGTGTGCCGGTGAAGGAATAAAGCAAAATCTCAATGATGTGTTTGGGTTTCACCCTAAGATCTACGTTATCCTGATCAGACAAGGAATGGCTTTATATAGCATTTCTCAAAGAACTCTGTGGTTTTTGGTTTGCGCTCCATTTACAAATTATACATAGTGCTTAGGGTCGGAAGGGACCTAAACAGATTTTCAGGTCTGACCCCTTGCCCTGGGCAGGAACAGGTGTGGGGTCATATCACCGCAGCCAAATATCTGTCCAGCCTCCTCTTGAAGACCCCCAAGGTAGGCGAGAGCACCACCTCCCTTGGGAGCCCAGTCCAGAGCCTGGCAGCCCTAACTGTAAAGTAGTGTGGCTTTACAGTATAGTTTCAGGTAGAAGTAACTTTTGAGAGAAGTTTTTCCCTGACCATTTCTAGTTTCGAGATCTGCAGAAACTGTCTGTGTCCATCCCCAGTTTCCATTCACCGATACGATGCATTTAAGAGTATCAAGTGAATGTGCTCTATACATCAGGGCATGTCCATATACTTATCATTGGTTCCAGACACTTGCTTCCTTTTGGTGGGATACAGTGCTTGGCTGACAGCAAAATTCATGATTTTGGTTTGCCCTTGTGTGGTAGAGGGATGGCCCTGAATCAACACCTCCAAGCTAAAGGCCCTTCAGCCTTGTCCGAATTCATCTGCTTGTCTGGATGAGGACACTGCAGCTTCAGCACACCTCTAGTTTTTCATTTCCAAAATAATAGCAGAAGCCCCTTAGACACATACCACAAGCAACTGCAAGCAGGAGAGTCTGCCAGGTGTAAGCATAGAAGATGCCTCCAATCGCGATGCATGAGAGGGAGCTGTTGTAGTTCCACAAGCCGGAGTAGATTTTACTAAAAGGTGCTGCCAGGCTCAGGGCTGTAAAGGAAATCAGAAAAAAAGTCAGCGCTGAGCTCAAGGGGGAGAAGAAGCTGAACTCTAGACTGAAGCAGGCATTTGAAGAGCTCTGTTCTAGATGCAGACCTACAACCATTCCTCCCAGTGACCCATGCTCGGTTTTTACTCATGCCGATGTTGACCTGAACTAAATCTACTGAAGCCAGTGGAGTTACTCTGGACTTCGCTTGGTGAAACTGGGAGCAGATGCAAGCTGTATAAGTGGAGTAGGAGATACACGAGTGAATGGGAGAGGTTTTGCAACCTAGCCATTTCAGAACCCACAGCTTTGTCTCGTTCAGTAAATGATTACTCAAAAACAAAAAGTAAGTATATTTCTAGTTTATGTATTGGGTTTGATATAAAAATATTTCCACCCTTCAAATTTTATGACAACAATGAAGATGAGAATTTCATCTAAAACATGTCAAACATTCAAATTTGTAGTTGAAAAATGAAAACTTCCACCAACATATTTGATGTTTGTCAAATGTTCTTTCTGGTCAGACACTTTCCATTGGAAACATATTTTTTGACTGCAACATTTTTCACTGGGTCTAATTCTCTTTATTTCAAGTGTGCATGTACAATATAGGATCATAAGAAAGTAGGGCTGGTAGGGACTTGAGGAGGTCATGTACTCCAGTCCTCTGCTCAAGGCAGGATCATCCCTGACAAGACACCCGTAAAATAGAGAATTTATACCTGCCACTACCCCCACTGCTGATCCGATCACAGCATGCAGACAAATGAGCGGAGAGGAAATGAGCAAAGCAACCAGGATGATGCCTCCAGTCCAGGGGTTATCACAGCCGTACACCTGTCCAACTCCAACGGGAATGGATTGGAACAACTATATCAGTTTGAAAAAGATAAGTTTTTATCTAGTCTATGATTCGTTTTTAACATTGACGTCCTGAACTGCAAACCTGTGAAGACAGCCCAAATGCTAAATAGAGATTTGCCCTTAGTAATTACAAGAGGACAAAATGCAAACTTTTAGGCCTGTGGGCAGTTGAGGTTGAGGATGTTAATATGAGCAATGGGGAGGAGTATGAGATGTCACTTATTCCTGTTGCTCTTTCATGCATTTTGCTGCCTAGCGAATCTGTATAAGACTTGGACCCACCACTTATGGACAGTACCTATACAGTTTAATAGGAATAAATGAGTAGGAGTCCATAGATAGTTTTCTAAGTAGCTATACGACTTAATCAAAATATCCCTTTTAAAAGTTTATTTTTTCACTAATATTTTAAAATTCAAAGCCAAGGATTTGGTTTTCTATTGAACTTTACTTAGAATGAGTCTTTTGCATTTAAACCTTACATAACATTCCCTTACGTCACATCACTCTCATACACCGCTCACTTTTTCAAAGCCTTGTGATCAGTCACCTGAAAGAAACCACCAGCATTTTGAACCACGATGCCCACAAGGCAGAGATTTGAGTCTGTCTGAGTCGGGTCCATCTTTCACAAGAAATCTTCCTGATTTTAAGGCCAGAGGAAACCATTACATTGTTGGCTACAAATGTCCAACTTGGGATCCTTAAAATTCTGGTTTATTAGGCGGATTGAGGCACTATAATGAATTTAAATCATAAAACTTGGGGCTGGTCCCCCCTCCCCCCCCACACATGCACACACACAGTAGCATGCTACAAGAGTCAGGTATACCTATACCACAGGCACTGGAGTCTGCCGTTGAGGCTTCTTTCAGCGTGGTGTTATCTTCCAGAAGGGGGTCGCTGGCTGGTCCTTTTGGCTGGACAGGTCGGGTGCTGGTCAAGTTGGAGATCTAGAGGGCGCCCCTGAGGGTCACTTTTCACTGCTTTTTATCTGTCCTTGGCAGACTTTGGTGACTCCCCAGTTTTCAGGTTTGCCCAATCCAGGGGTCATTGACCCTCATGGGACTTCCCCCCTCGGTGGCTACTGGATGGCATCTGTCAGCCCCAGGGGTTGTCCGCATGTATGTGCAGGCTTGGGAGTCTGTTGATGAATTTTGAATAGGGCTCTGGGAGCGGCTGATTTGGAGATATTCAGCCCAAAAGTTGTTCCCCTGCGTTGATTAACTCAGGCCAGGGCTTCTAGCCCTTGATCAGTGAGGTTTAGAGATTTCCCGGTTGTTACATTGTCTTCTATTGAGTTCTTCCCTTGGTTGATCTGCAGCTTCCAGGTGTTAATTGCTGTGTGCTACCTTGTTACACATTCAATCACTGATTCACTCGCTCTTTCAGGGGCCAGCCTGATACAGGGAAGGACAGTTTGATTCCTGCCCTTGTTAACATTGTTACAATGTATAACTTACTTATGAAACTAAAGGCAGACAAGGTTCCTATGAAACTAAACACATTTAGTTGAAAGTTGAAAGGTGAGGAGTATAAAATATAAGCTACAAAAGTAATGCCATGGCACACAAATAGATAAAAATACCAAAATACAAGGGGAGATACAAAATGCACACATACAAATTTCAAAACACAATTCCTTATCTTAAAGTGAAAGAAAGAGGAAGGAAGAAAAGGTAGAAGAGGAAAAACATATCCAAGGAACGGAGAGCAACTGCAGGCAAGAGGAAAAGGGGCTTTCTGCTACAACATCATGTAGCCTGACCTGATTTACAGACCAGTTTCATCTAGTTACTGATGGATCAAACCCAAGAACATGTTTAATTAAAGGAGTCTGGATAGAAAGGCTTGGTAGATCTTGATAGTTTGTTTTAGCCCTTAATCATTCTCACTGTTAAGCATCGGGCCCAATTTCTCCTGTGAATGTTGCTGTCTTCAGTTTGCTATTCATTGGTTCTTCTTATGCTTTCTATTTGCTATGTGAACGAGCCTTTTAATACCCTGCATTTTCACCCCATGTAATAAATGTCCTATTCGGTAATCAAGCCACCTCTTCATCTTTTTGAGGTCTTTATAGCATATTTTCCAGGCATTTCACCTGCTGCTACGGGTTTTAAAGCAGCTGATTACCCTCACACAGGAGTGATTTCCACTGCAAGATCCTTTTAAGGATGCTGCAGGGTATTGGGAAATAAGCTACTGCTCCTCCTCTCTGTGCCTGGTCCCTGGGCGAGGTGGTAAGTACTGTAATAAATACATAAGTTTTTGAAATAGGGTGCAGCTCAATAGAGACGTTATGGAAGGGTGCTTCAAGTCTGAAAAGGTGGAGAACCGGTGAGAAACTACAGAAAAATATATATTCAGGTCTAAACAGTCATAGGCTTCCTTGGTGCTTACAACCAACCTGTGCTTCATAGCTGCCACTTCTGGGGACTTTATCGTAGAATCATAGAAAATTTGGGTTGGGAGGTCATCTAATCCTAACCCTTGCTCAAAGCAGGTCCATCCCAACTGGATCATCCCAGCCAAGGCAGTGTCTACCTGGGTCTTACAAACCTCTAAGGAGGGAGATTGCACCACCTCTCTGGGGAACCTGTTCCAGTGCTTTACTGCCCTCCTAGTGAGAAAGATTTTCCTAATATCTAGCAATCTTCCCTTGCTGCAACTTGAGACCCTTCCTCCTTGTTCTGTCATCTGCTACCACCGAGACAGTCCAGCTCCATCCTCTTTTGAACCCCTCTTTAGGTAGTTGAAGGCTGCTATTAAATCCCTTCTCAGTCTTCTCTTCTGCAGACTAAATAAGCCCAGCTCCCTCAGCTTCTCATTATAATTCATGTTCCCCAGACCCCTCACCATTTTCACTGCCCCTCTGCTGGACTCTCTCCCTTTTATCTGTTAAAAGGTGCCTTAATGCATCCCCCACTATAGTCCATGGCAGTCTGGTTGGACCTCACAGAGCCTAGACTTGAACAAACCTACATGTCGTTAATCTTTCCCTGGGCCTCACATTTCTCCCAGATATTTCCAGACTTTAGGACTTTTATGTTTCATTCACGTAGGACAGAAATTAGCCTGGTGTTAATAGCTAAAGGTCCTGCCAGAGCTCCTCTCAGTTCCACTTTTAGTACAGTCTCATGATTATCAGTGTCCTCTCTGTTTGCAACAGTGCATTTTGGGGAATTTTAGTCACATGTACCAGGGAAACGACACAGTTCATCACAAATCTCCCTTACTCGTTCAGCTGCTTCTTATCATCCGCCCTTCTTTTAGCCATGTAAAGCTCACAGTTGGATGTCTTAATGTGTAATCCAGAAGAGAGCTATGTAGAGAGGGGATTCATTTATTTCCAGGAACTGACAACTTCTGCCTTACTCCTCAAAGACAAATACCTCATTTTAATGAACATTTGTTTGATGCTCTCTT